CACCCCCTACTTACCAGCTCAGAGTCCAGCTGCAGCTGCCTGCTGCAGCCACCAGGGACTGTCCAAATCATCAAACCTTTCCAAATCTTCCAAAGATTCAGAGAGCTTTGAATCGATTCAGACCTTTAAATTGGTCCACTGATTGAATTTGGATTCGCGATTCGGTCATTGAATTGGGCTGAATCTTTTCTGAATCACCACCCGAATCGAATCACCACCCAAAGCTTCGTACAGGCCTAATATCTTTTATTAGAACAACTAAATAGTTTGAAAAATTGTTCTGTGCAAGCTTTTGGGCACAAACACCCTTCTTCAGGTATAGAGAGAGTCCAACACAGCTACAACCAACAACCCTAAAGGTGAAGAAGTATACTTATTGCCTTAGAATTGTTCCTCTTGCATTTCATAGGGGGCAAAAGGAAAGATCTTCTGACCCATGTTTGCTAACAATCTTTTTCTTAGTTCTGGGATGAATATCAATCATAGTGACTCCTACCTTCATAATGATTTCCTCTTTTTTACCATCAACTTACCTCATCTTTCATTTCATATTGGCAATGTCCAGCAAGTGCTTTAGAAATATTATAATTATCTTAAAAATAACACCATACACCAACACACAAGCATTGCAAGAGAAGTGACTCAAAAGGAATGTGAGATCGCCCATGAGTGTGCATTAATTATATTACCATTGTTCCACAAAAGGGATTTCGTCAGTTCAAACCCCAAGGCATGAAATTAAAGTTTGACTGCCCCAGCTGGATTAAGTTTCCAATCAATTGACTTGAAAGGGAAGGGCTGACCTGTACAGTGGCAGATAGGTACCTGGCAGTTACTTGGGGAAGTGTAGAGATAAGTGGGAGAGTTATATTTCTTCTATTTACTTCTTTAAAAGTCTCCTGTTCTGAGCAGTTGTTTTCAGCAGTCAGCTCTTCTGAGTTAAATTTTGGGACTACCTGGTGGTTTGGGTCACTCATCTGGAGGTAAATTTAGCAGGATAGCTCCACATGCATAAAATTGGTAATCTACAGGTAAATCTGTTATGTTTGAGCTCATCCATTATCAACCAGAATTAAAAAAAAAAAAAAAGATTTGGCCACAGCAAAAACTGCCCTGTTAAATTAAAGGGGCTGAGTGAAAATTATTCCCACCAAAAGGCTAATAGTACCAGTCCCATTTTCTGCTTTCTTTCACAAAAAACAGGGTATTGCTTTGCATATAAACTCAATTACATGCCCTGGAAAGTTCTCCCCAGAATGTTTCAAACAAGTGCTTGATTTTTAAAACACATAAGAAATGAACCCCCCCCCCCCCACAAAAATTAAATACAAAACATCCACATGCATAAACCACATGAGAAAAGGGAAAAAAAAACCACACCCAGGTTTCATTAACCACACAAAAGCAAGATGCGAGAGTGACTGTGGTAAACTTTTCTATTGGTAAGAAAAGTAAATTCTCACCGTTCTGAACAAAATGGCTGAACTAAAGCATCTGATTGGTTATGCCCAAATACCCTCTTCCTCATCCTATTGGTTGAGAGACGACAATGGGAAAAAGCCCCAGAGCAGCATGGGAATGAAATAAAGAATTGGTTAGTATTTAAAGCACACACATATGTACAAAATACTAATAGCAGGAAAGAATGGTCTCCAATTCCCTGTGTTTTCTGCTACATCACCTTCCAATAATTTGAACAACTGGAAACAGCTTTTTAAATTCTCTTTTAGGTTTTACTCAATTTCTCAGAATGTGTTTAGGCAAACTGTCCTCCATTGTGAGATGATTGCAAAAGCTTCTTTATATATTTCTCTTAGCAATCCTTTCTGTTCTAGCCTTGTTAAAGCCATCATTGCCTTTATTCTCATATACATTATGGAAACATCTTGAGTTTCATCACAGAATTTCAATGTGTAAAAGGATGGATAAACTTTCACTCAAAAATGAGATTTGAAAACCACTGTATTAACTTGCAAGACTGATATTCCTCTTACAAAGAAAATATGGCTGACATCTTCAAAGAATGTCTTGGAGGACTCAAATCACTGAATTCACTAGGTTCTTCATTTGTAACCTCAAGCCAGTGGGAAGAGAGGTTAGAAAGATGTTTGGAAATGAGATACTCATTCCTGTTTGCATTACTTTTATCCTTCTGAGAAATCCATGTTTGTCTTAACATTTTTCTCATACTGTTTTAAGAAGGAGTCTCTCATAGATATGAAAGGAGATACTGTGATAAGGATTTTGGGGTGATATATGTGCATTTACACTTTTGTTCCCTCCTTCTTCCAGGGTCATCCTCCTCTCGGTTCCCATTACCATGATCCACTCTTTTAAAAGACCCTTGTCTTTTGCAGCTTCCTTTGAAGGTCATCATTTCCCTTTTTATATCAAACCAAAGGACTGAGAAAGGTGCAAGGCATTCCTTCCTGCAAGGCAGTCCAGGCAGTGATTAAAGTTTGTGAATATTTTAATTAAACTGAAAAGGGGGAGATTTCAACATGGATTTGTAATTAGGCTGGCATGTCCTGAGCTACTCAAGGGATAGGTAATCCCTCTGATAATTGTGAAATCCATGGCTGTGTTTGCAAATGACACATGAAGCTGTACTATGCTTTGGAGATGGCAAATTGATTTTCTTTCAGTTCATGGCCCACTGAGTTTCTGAGGGAGTAGTCTGTGCTCATTTGGCATAGAAGCTAGTATTTCCTCATGGGAAATGAAAGGAACTGCTCACACAGAATCCAGAGATTAGGAAGCTGATCCAGACTGAAATTCCCTGCTATTTAAGGAGAGAATCAATTCAGGACATTTAGTATAATAAATTATTCTTCTCATGAGTTAAAGGAGGAATGACACAACTATTCCAAGTACATGAATGCTGACTTAAGTTACTGGAATCTGAATATGTTAGGAGACAATTCTTACCTTACATTTTATGAGATATTCAAAATATTAACACTGTTGCTGGCTCTTCCCCCTCCCACTCCAACACCCAGTTTACTACTTGGAAACATCTGTGCATTTTAGAAAGATCTGCTACACAGTCTATGCAACAGCTGCAAAAATTTCCATCATTTTTGTTCAGTAAGGAATATAATTTTTCTTCCCAGGTACTGCAGGTGCATTAGGAAAAGCTGTAGTTGGCTCAAAATAGTCAAATTAAAAACCATTTCAGAAGAAAAAAGGAGGGAAATATTACCTGGTCAGGGGAGGGCTTGTGGTTGGTTTGACTGGAATGGGATGAGGATTTGAAGTGGTCATCCTCATAGTTATCTGCCATCAGCTTCATGCGATTCTGAGTCTATGAAAAACAAAGCATAAGAAACTCAGTTTGTTCTTCTAAAATAAACATGAAGGCTAAAGGGAACAGACAAAAAGGCACCTTTAAACACTGCACACTATATTATGTATGCCAAACTCCATGAAATTTGTAAATATGAAAAGAACACAGTAATTTCTGTTGTCACAACATACTACATATTAATATAACCATAAAAAAATAATGAAAATTGGAGGGTATGTGCGGTTTGCTTAATTTGGTAGCCGAGTTTGCTTTGTGACTGTTTCATTTTCTAAAATGCCTCTAATGAGAACTGCACTCTGCATGCATACATATGGAAACTAACTCCTCAGTTTAAATACCTTTAAAAAAGGCACTGACATCACAGTGGACAGCTCAGTGAGAACATCTTTTAAACATGCTGACTTCTTCAAAAAGCAAACAAGCTGTGAAGGCATATTAACATATGGAAGACAAATGAACATTGAAAATACTAAGAATGCCATAATATATACCTAACCTCTAGAAGAAAAATACATTCTTAGTTTGGAATGTCAAATTCAGTTTTCAAAGAGGATAAAGCAAAAAATAGAAAAATGCGCATAGGTCAAAAGAACTGAGAAGACAAAAATCTTCCTAGATTAAAAGGTGAGAAGTATTAGTATATAAAAAAGTTGAACTGGAGATAATGGAAATTCATAAAACAACAAGCTGTATGAAATCAGTAGGGAATTCCTAATTATGACTTTGTGATGCAAAAACAAGATACAACTACATAAATTAAAAGGAAAAGAATTAACAACTGTTTGAAGGAATTTTTCTACACAGACTATTAACCACATATGGAACCCATGGTGTCACATCATCTGATCCCTTTCCGGATGCCAGATCCAGCACATGTGGCTCTTGCTCCAGGATGTGAGTTGCATGCAATGCCTGTTCCAACCAGTTTGGAATGGGGGCCATATGCAGGATGGGTCTTGGAATAAGCACTGCATGCAGTGCAGCCCCAGACTGGCTACAGTGAGTGCCGGATCCAGCAAGTGGGCAAGGGGAAGGGAAGGGAAATGGGAAGCGGGGGGTGGGGAGGAAAGGGACTCTGTGGGTCGGTCCCCTGCATAATAGATCTGCTCGCTGTAACTGGTTGGAGACTGTGCAACTTGCAGCACCCACTCCAGCCAGTCTGGGACCCATGCTGCACATGGCATCTGCCCTGGACTGGCTGGAACAGGTGCTATGTATGGTGTAGTTCTGGACTGGCTACAGCAAGCACCATGGGCACTGGATTCAGCATTTGGAAGGGAGAAGTGGCAGTGCGGGCCTAATCCAGTCCACAGGGCCAACCCTGAGACATGCATCTGTCCTATGTACCTGTTTCATGCCACTTATCGGGCTTGCAGTGAATCATTACATCATTGAAGAGCTAGTAAAATAATAATATGCATTAAATGACCGTTCCAAGTTATCTGTAGACATTCCTATTAATGTTTCACGCTCTACATAGCTGAATGGTGTCTCAGTGGAAGCTGTGATTTTAATGATCCTTCTAATGGTTGAGAATTCAGATTTCATTTGACTGCGTGAGAACAGCAAGGACTTTAAAGGCTGTTACAGGCAAGTTTTAGTGTTTAAACTAGGGGTTAACAGTAGGTTACTACTAAATTATACTTAAAAAACTCTCTACAATTAGGAAATGATACAAAAGTTTACTTGTTCAATTCAGCCAGAAAAATTCAGTGTTCTTTTCTATCGGACAGTACTTGGGACTTATTCAGGACTTTATTAGCTCTCAAGATGGCAGCTTTCCCTGAGCTTACTGTGTTTATTGTATTTAACTGATTGGTTTTTAATAATTTCCTTCTTTGTTATTAAATGTACAGATTTAAATCTCTTCTATTACACTGGAATTTCTGATCTGGATTTTTGAGAATAATAACAAATAAGACTTTTTTCAGAAAAATTATTACATGAACTGGGAATCATGTATGAAAGAATGATTTATGGAGAGGAGATTTAACTTTAACTTCAATATGGGAGGGGACACTGGCTGCACAAAGTAAAAGCAATAACCTTGAGAAGCTCTGCATGGTGTGAGCTGACAAGTTTCAGTGCATTGTAGCACTTGACAAAATTATCTCACTGCCATCTTAGGAATAGAAGGGTGTACAGAGGTAAACATTGGAAATATAACACCTCTCATTCAGAAAACTTGTGAAGTGGAATTGAAGATGTTGTACACATCACTCATTTGGTTTCAAGTGGTTTCAGGGTGATTCAACAGAAAATATAATACAACTGCTTAGTTACTACACAAATTTGTGTCTTCAGAGAATTTTACAGATACTTAGACTGAGGCTTTCAAAGTGAACTAATGGCATTAGGCATTTAAATTCCATTTTGTTACAATGCATTTTAAGTATTTAACTCCCTTAGACTTGTTTGAAAACCACAATCCAAATTAATTCCTGTAGTACCCTTGTAAAGACAGAAAATATATAAAAACAATACATCTGGCCACTTATTTTCTGCATTTCACCTTTTAAAATGGGTTCTCTTTCCCTCAGCCCAATTTCACCTTGGGCTGTTCTTAGTATTACGTTATAACCTGGTGTTTGTGGTAATCAACATCTTTGGCATGAAGATAGCACAAAATCAACATTATGACTTCTTTGAAGCTCTAGACAGCAGCCACTAGAAAGACTAAGTTTGAACACAATTATCTTTAAAATTTAACAAGAACAACAAAATAGAAACTCCAAAGTTTATTGCTGGGATACTATTAGAAACCAAAATGAAAGATCCATGTTAAGGGGGCTAGCCAAAGCAAAAGTCCTCTGGCGAATGGTCGAATGGAAACATGAAGGGTTTATCCTGAATATAGGTGGTACATTGGGCCAACAAGTTTAAGACATGCCAGTTTATTTAGCTAGCTGCACACAAGGAAGATGCAACTAGAATTACATTCCTGATTAACAGCAGATGATGAAATCCATTGCTACTCCTGTGGATACAGCCGCAGAATAAGAGGGATTTTTATAGTCCTGTGGTGGTCAAACAAATCAAAAACTTCTTCTGTGGACTTCTGAACCTTAACTGGGGAACTTCTAATGAGGAGTCTGCAAACTACCACATATAATTACTGATTTCCTCTCCTATGACTACACAACGCTCAAAAGGATGGAAATTTCTACAACATAGGCTTACTGTTGCTGGGGTTACGAAAAAAAGGCTGCTTACTTTATTGTGGGGAACCACTTCAGTTCCCTGCTACAACATCCTGCAGTCCTAACTGCTATGTCACCCAGCTATGATGAAATCACTTCCTTTCTCACCTTATGGGGCTGTAGCTAATCCTTGGTAAGATCCTATAACAACCATTCTTACACCACTGTAAAATATCTATGAACAACACGGTGGCTTAACCACTACATCCTGTGGGAAAAGAAATGAGTGACACAGATAAATCTGTGGTGTGAGGAATGTCCCAGGCTAGAAACTGCAGGACCAACAATCAGAACTACTGCCCACAAGAGCCGGACTGCAGACCTCTAGGCAGTGCTTGCTGCGTGCATGTGCCACTGGAAACTAAGACTGGAAAAAAGACCAAAACACATCTCTTAAATACAGACTGCTATGCTTCTTTGATGTTGCAGATGTTGTGCCTGGTACACCAAAGGCCTCTCTAGTAACGGATTCCTTTCCTACTCACTGCCAATCTCTTAAGAAAAAAGAGAAACCCCCAAAAGAAGAAATTCTCATTTAATGTTCAAGATCAAATAGACCCTCCCACTAAGAAAAAGTGGTTCCCAGCTATGGTATGTTTTCACATGTGTCAGTTTTTGCATGTGAAGGGGGTATTAGAATTTGAATCAAATAGACCATCAGCTCTGGAAGGGTACAGGATATGCGTTTGGTCTTACAAAAAAGTTTCCTCGGGTTGTTTCCTGAATTACCCCAGTACCATAAACACATGGGGGGGGGGGGTTTGGATTAAAACTCCATGAATTTACATTAGTCTCTCTCATGTTATACTGTACCAGGAGATCCTACCCCCAATTTAACACCAGCCTCCATTTTCTCCCTTCAAACAATTTAATCAAGTATGTTAAAAGATCTGCATCTTTTTACCATACATGAACAGCCTCTCCGTGTCCTTCTTCCTCAAAAGCTCTCCCTCTTAGTCTAAATCTAATATGAAAACCTCTTTTCTTCTTTGCCTAGTCCATTTAATTTTGTGTTAAGTGTGTGATTCTAAGTTCTTCTCTTTTTGAAACAAAATACTCTTTATAACATGCCTCCCTTTCAAACTTCCTATCTAGATCCTACACACCCCTCACTATCATTTCAACATAGACAATATAAAAATTAACTTTAATGATGAACATATCTTCTTGGTGAAAGCTCTTCTTTTAAAATATGCTTTCCTAAATTATCATATCTTGGTCAAGAACTTCACCCTTACTAGTCTGTATTTCCAACCCCTACACTTTAAATTCTCCAGATCACTGTGCAATCTGTTTCTGCTCACCTTTTGTGTTCACTAAAACTCCAGTTCTGGTTCCTACCTACAGATTTTGTTGCAGTTAAATTAGTACTTGACAAAGAGTGAAAGGAAGCATATGTATAAGGATACAGAGAGAAGTACTCTGGATTTTAGTTGGTGAAAGACTTTATGTGTCAACTTTGTAACAGCCCTGTGCTGGGCAATGATCCCTACCTGAAGGTGGACTGATGTGGCATCACTATACCTTACAGGTCAATTTGAAAACCACTGACATTGTATTTCACTGTATAAAACATTTTAGCAGTAGGGGATGCAGGAATGAGACAAGGGGTGTGTTGCTCCCTTTCACTATACTCCCTTTAGCTACACTGAGCATGTGCAGTGAACTCTTGAGTTCACCCACTGTCTGGTCAGTGCAGTTCCTACTGAAGCTCCTGCTTTTGGGTGGCTCCAGAGCCCAGGGGCATAAAGAAGCAGCATTTACCCTTTTCCTCCCTTGCCCTTCCAGCTCAATTCA